GTGGGGGTGTTGGTAATCGATTGCCAATGAATATGGTTGGCAATCGATTTCCAACCGTATCAGAAATTTGCTGATGTGTGACGATTTTTACAAAAATCAACACTGATTAAAGATAGGAGTTTTGACAAAGATATTTTCAGATCAATATTAACTAAACAAAGGTATTTTCAGCTGAATACTAACTAAATAAAAGTGTTTGGACTTATCGGTATGACCAATAAAAATATAATCAATTCTAAATCAAATACAGCTTATTTAGAGTGGAGGAGCATCCACTACTTGTGTGCAAGATTCGAAGTTGAGATCAATAACAACTAGTTACAAGTAAAGTATATTTACAAGTAAGAACTTTATTATATTATTTAATTCAAGCATGATTTTTATTTTGTTGAAGAGAGGCTCTTCTTATATACATGTTTCTTGGCTACACTAATTACATGATTTTTGTTACATCAATATTTATCTAATGTTAATTATTACTATGATAATTATTACTATGACCATTATTACTATAATAAATGTGGTAAAGTGTTAATTATCATCCAAGAAACATTAAATAATATTAAATAATATTATGTTAATTAAATATTAATTATTATACAATAATTATTAAATGTTAAATAATAGGTGTAACTAATATATATATTTATAGAAAAGATATTAATAGTAAAATAAAAAAATAGAATTATAATAAAAATTATGGAATTAGAGGATTTAATATTACTTCAGTAACAGTATTACATTAAATAAATTAGATGAATTAATAATCAAAATTAAATAGATTAATAATTAGAAATCAAGAACTAATAAAATATAATAACTAATAATTAATAATAAAAATTGCGTAATAAATAAATAAAATGATTAGTTATTTATAATATTACTAGATGTAAATAAAAGATAATTAAAAATAAATAAATAAATAAATAGAAATTGATTAAATATTACTCAGGATTTGATAATATCTCATGTCGGGTGATCAAGTAAAAGAGTGAATGGTGACAGTATTTCAATTTTCAACTTATTTTAACTTCCAATTTATTTTTCAATTACTAGCTAAGTTATATTATTTTTATAATATTTGATAATTCTACAAAAGTTACTTTTGTTATGATACTATTGCTACTTTTACTAAGATCTAATTGCTTACTTTGCTAGTATCATATTGCTATTTTTGCTATAATCAAATTGCTGATTTAGCTTGGATCTAATTGCTAGTTTAGCTTGGAGCATTTTGCTAACTTTGCTATGATCATATTACTTGTTTTACTATCTAATATTAACGAATAAGATCTCTTCTAGCTAGTATTCAATAAGATATTAATAAATATTATCCAATAATATTATGATATAAATTGTTCAATAACAATAAGATAACTAATATACTAAAAGTTCATATCATAACAATATATAAAAACTAGAAATGATATCAATATTTAATAGAATAATAATTCATAAATGTTAGCAAAGCAAAGCAAAGCAAATCATTTTACTCTTTTTCTTTGCAATCATTTATATTTTAATAGTTTTGTTATAAAAGTAAATTATATTAATTATAAAATTATATTTTGTTAACTTATTAGTTTCTATTTTTTAATCTTATTAATTTATTTATCCATTTTAACATTATTATGCTAATTTGAATTAAAAAATGCCAACCAATCAAATTTCTGTCTTACAACAAATAATATATGTCACATGATTTCATTCTAATGTCAATTTTCTGAATTATTATATAAATTAAAAAACTTTAAATCATTCAAAACCAAAAAAAAAGAAACTTGTTTTACAGATTTGTAATTTAACTAAAAAACTATAAATCTGTAAGTTTTATTTTTTTGTATGATTACTTGTTACTGAATTATAATATTATGCATAAAAGTGAATATCTCATGCTGTTTTCCACTATATAAATCAATTAGTAAATTTGGGGCAAATTTATATTTATAAATAGCGAATCACCAATTGAACTCTTGATTCGAGTCATTTTTGGACTCAACGTCTGATCACGCGATTAGAATAACGTATTCCGTTTATATCATGTTCATTTTAAATATGAAATCAGATTTTTTCTATGAACGATTTTTTAATTTTTATATATTATTATTTACAGATGAAATGATGCGTGTGTGTGTGTACGTGATGAATGATGTTGAAAATGACAAAAGAAAAAAAAAGTTACTAAGCAAATTATTTTTATGCTGGACCAAAGAAAAAGAACAGAATCGAATTCGAACAGAACGAAAAGTAACTGATTATGAATGAAAATCCGGAAAGAAACAGAACATATTATTTTTTGCGTATCATGATTAAAGAACATAAAACCATATGTAAACAGTGAGAGTGAGTAAATAAATGATCATAAAACAGAAGGAAAAGGTTTTTTGAAAAAAACATAATGAAATCATTTTTCATGGATTTCAAGATTAATAATGCTATCGTCAACGCGCCATTTATTGAACGCTGACAGGTAGCATCATATCTGTAAGAAAAGTATGATAGAAGAAATGGAAGGGGGAAGAAGCAAGGCATTATATTTTTATGGAGAATAAAAACGTCTATGCTATATTCGAATTTCTCCTAGTCTTTATAACATGTAAAAGGGAATACTATCTAGGATTCTATTAATGATTAAAAGTAGTGACGATTATACGAGAAAAAGGTAAACCCAAAAAATACAATAATTTTCGAATACAATTGGTTAACTTGATTTATACCAATCGAGAGTAGAAAAAAGAATTGTCCGAATGGAAAATGAAATAAACTGCGCATAAATCACATTTCTTTAATTATTATATGTTCAAATATAATGAGATATAAATTCCCACCCAAGAGTGAATAAAAAGAATCGCAAAGTGAGATGAATGAATCTTTTAACGTTCTCGGTATCAGAAATAAAAGGAACGCATTCGTACGCGTTGGTTATATTAATGGGAATTAAAGAATAAAGAGATGTGTGTGTAGGTATTTAGATAAGAGCTAAATATTAGCACGTCCGTGAGCCCGGATTCATCACCTTGACTCCTTCAACTTCACCATCATAGCGAACTTTCTTTACAGGTCGACCCAGTCGATGTACGCGTAGATGACGACGCATGTTACTTTGTACAGAGAATTTACGTCCGCATCCAGGTTCAGTACATACAAATGGTTTCTCCCCAGTATGAGAATAAGTGTGAATGCGAAGTGAACTTGGACGTGAGAATCTTTTCGAACAATATGTACATTGATAACGATTTGTATTTGATGATGATGGTGTGGATGATTGTTCATTGATTGTTGTTGATGATTTAGATGACGAACTACGTTTAACGGGTGTGTTACGACTAATCTGATTGTTGTTATTACTGTTCTGTAATTGAACAGAAGATATATCGAAATGTGAAATATTATTATTATTATTGTTATTATTATTATTATTATTATTAGTATTATTATTATTATTATTAGTATTATTATTATTATTATTATTATTATTATTGTGATGCTGATGATGATGATGATTATTATTAAGGGTGATTGACGAGGAGGAGGGAGAATTCGATGATGATCTTTGAAGATCAAACGGTTGGAGAGAATATTGTTGTTGTCTTGAGTATTGATAATTTCCTGGATGATGAGCAATTGGGTGAGGTATAACAATTGGAGGCGATTGGGTCCTTGTTGAATTAATCGGATAAATCGGCTCCGGTTTAATGGCGGTTGCAGTTGTTGTATACATTGGTTCAGGTTTCACAGGCGAAGTGAATGCAGGATAGGGATTGTATGGTAGTTGATGAGATGTAGCATTAAAACGTTGTTGCTGTTGTTGTGGTTGCTCTTGTAATTGATGATGTGTAATATAATTATCAAAAGTGGATGCAGGAGGATTTGAACAAACTAAATTTGGCGATGAAGGCGGTGAGATAATAGAACGAAGACTACTGCTGTTGCTATTGTATCTTTCAATGTTCATCGTCGTTGTTGCTGCTGCGGCTGCTGCTGCTGCAGAATTATTGCTGAATAAAAGATTTGATGATGAGGAAGACGATGACATTTGTTGGATATTTGAATTATCAGAAATGGATGGTAGACGACAATAAGGATCTTCCTTTTTAACAAAATTATTATTGTTATTATTAGCAGCAGTAATATTTTTATTTGTATTATTATTAGCACTATTAGTATTATTACTGTTGTTGTTAATATTTAATTCCTGATGCTGATTAGACGACATTGGAGTAATTGGAGGAGTGATAAGAAATGAAGAAGTGGAAGTGGGACTAGTTGATTGAGAAGAATAAGCAGAGGAATGATGCGGGGAACAGAGAGAAGGGAGATTTATCGAGGAATGGACACTCAAATAGTCGTTGATTGGAGGGCGACGGCAATCTGTTATTGAGAGAAAAAAGATTATACAAATTAAGGTTAATTATGTGAAAATTCTTTATTTAGAAGATGGCGATGATGTTTATTTAGTATCCACCCTGAATCCCATCGATCTTTGCTTGATGAGCGTTCATCTCTTGGGGCTTATGTTGCATAATCATTTTTTTTTCCGATTGTTGATTGATCACTTTTGTCATACACACAAATACACACACACATCACATATACAGGAAAGACACACGAACACGAGGGAAAACTTTTACTCTTAATGTATATTGATGTACAGATTAATAATCTGTGAATTGCGCAATGGGCGATTTCCAGGATGTTTGTGTCGTAAGCACCAAAATAACAGAGGCAGCCATCATTTCGGATGGGGAAACGAACAAGTTTGATTTGTTTGTCTCGTGTAGAATAAATAGCGCGGGTAGATACTAGCCCTTTCTCTCCTAATAAACAGTGTGACTCGTTGCGTAAATAGGAATATAGACATGAGATAATCTCCCCTGAACTTGTAGCTTTACGGATAATTAATGTGCCATGGCAGTGATGGCGTATACGTAACGTGTGGCTTGTGCGTGCCACTTTTGCATCATCATGGTGCAACATGATTTCGATGTCGTCATTTTGTATGTACGACCATCTTGGGAAATGAAAAGACTTTCTCATTTATCTTCATTCATGAATTATTCTTAGAAGAGGAACCAGCCCAATTTTTCAAAGAAATGTCAACCAAATTTTCAACCGCCATTCTTGTTATCATTTCGTGCCACAAAATAACGCATACCGCTCACCACTCGTACACACGATATAACCTTCGCAAAGAAAACGGAGTTTTTCTCACTTACCATTAATATCATCGTTAATAGGTGTGTCCAATAAAAGTTTTATGGGTGGTAAAGTAATCGTTCCCAAAATTGCTTGCATAATTAATTTTCGTCGTCGTGAAGTAGAGAAGAATAATATGATGTTACTCGTCTTATTATATTTGATTTTTTGCCCGTGAATCGGTGAACGTTATCGTCGATTATGATGTAAAGATACGATGTTGATGATGATAATGTGATGAAATCTTAGATATTATGCCAAAAAAGAATTAACGAATTAATCCGAATTAATCGTAATGTAATGTGAATGAGATGTTTTATAAAGTAGGTAATAAATATAGAGCGAGAGAGAAAGGGCGAATAGTAAAAATTCTATTAATGAAAAATACAGGTCAAATCTCAGCACGATTTTTTTATTCTATTTATTTTTATTTTCTATGCGATTTTAATATTAGATATGATTTTTGGTTGAAAACACAAAAAGAACTCGCTCTTTTTCGTCTTTTTGATGAGTAGTTTCTTATATAATTAACTAACTATCTCCAAAACAACAAAAAAAGAAGGATCTAAAGTGGTCGAGTTTATATTTATACGACTATTCGCTACACATGTATGTACTCTATTTGATTTAGTGAAGCGATGCGTTTGTTGCATTTATTACTTTCAGACCTTCTATAGGATATATAATATAAGAAGAGTCGATCTGCGTGGATCAGTTTGTTACATGAACACGGAAGTACATAATAAAACGAAATACATAATCAACATTCACATTCGGCATTTCTCTATTATCGTTATTATTTTTTCTTTATATTTTGTCCAACAACATGTTGTTATTAATAACTATGTGATCTACGTGTGATCCATATTTGGGTAAATAGCGTCTGCATCAATATACAAGTAAATCCAGTGATCGCTATGCAAGGATTTCGGTGAATTTGTCAAAAGTCAGTACGTTGTTATTTATTTTGTCATAGTAAAATATCCCGTCTACCTATAAAAATATCTGTCCCATATACTGGTTTTCTCGGTAGGGGTTTAGGTGTTGATTAATGACTTCATAAATTGATTTTATTTCTGGTTTTTTTCCTCTCTCTTATTGATGAGATCAAAGACCGTTTTCTTAGTTAGTTTATTTTTGGAGAATCAAAGGAGATGGGGAACACGGCACACTCATTACTGAGTAACAGAAGATTTATTCATTTATTTGTTTATTTATTTATATTTACATTCACTCGTTTAAATACATGCAGGCAAAGGTTGATTGGACTCTATGTTCAAGATGATCAATTTTCCGGATAGATTTTCCCCGTACATGCCATGTATCGACGATCTAATAATCCCTTCATTATTCTGAGAGAAAGAAACATCTCTCTCGTTTAATACTTCAAAATGGTTTATAATCGGATATGTGCACGCGCGCGCATATACAAACAATTTAACATTACACATTTTTTGATAATCCAATGGCGAATGACATCGGATGTTTTTTCATTGGTGACGGGTGTCAAACCGATCTGATCTGAACTTGGGGAAATGATTACATTATGACTTAATTAAATCCACGAAATTTTCATTTCTAATGACAATCGTCATTATAATTATATGTATTTATATGCGCATGCGTACGCCCACGTATGATCACCAAAACTTGTTCTTTGTTATATTCATTGATTTGTTCCATCATTGCCACGACGGTGTTAATGTGTGCCAATGAAAAATCATGTTGAATTAGATGTATATTTTTTGCGTTTCGATCATTTATCGAGATAACAAATAGAATATGTTAATATTGGCATGCTAATAAACATTGAATAGGAAAAATGAATAACGGAGCACGTCGATCATTTTTCTCTTTCAAGAACATGGCAGCAAGTTTTATTGGACGAAAAGACACTGTTATTTTTGGAGCACAAGGCCTGATGTCGTCTTTCATTCTATTAAGGTTTCAGACTATAAATACATGTGCATTCTAACCAAGATTCATGACCAATAAACTTAAACATCTTTGTGAAAAAATATATCAATCAAAATATTTCTATCAGAAGTACGTAGCACGAATGTCCTGTGTTTATGTATATTTTCGAAGAAACGAAAGGCAATCACTAAACAGATACTTTTTTCCTGAATTAACGGAGTCATCCGCATTTTAAACATGTATACAAGAATTATAAATTCAAGAAGTAAAATAAGATCGATTCCATTAAACGAAGAAAATCCGAATTGAAAATGTTAACTACAATGCTAATTAAATAATAATAATAATCACAAAATACAGCATGTGCAGTAATCACTGGACTTTGAAATTTTATAAGCTGAAAAATGTATTTTGCTGCACAGAGATAAAATTTGTTATTATCTGTGCGTAATATTAATCAAATACTTACCTAACGCTAAGAGAATCGCTTTGGTAATTTCTTTCTTAACAGAATCCATGCTGGAAATTTTTGATGCGATGTTCCTTATTTCCTTATTTCAGATAACCAATGGGATGTCGTTCTCTTATTGCTGGCTTATTATTACCAAGATAAATTATTACGTATGTATTTATTTGCTAGCCATATCGAACATATTGGTACATTGTTGTTGCTAATTTGCGTGTTACAACATCTATGCATCAGATAGACAGATAGGCATACAATGGAGAAAACCGTAACTTAATGGTGAAATGAAAATCGTAAACTTTAATGGCGAAAAAAAAATTTTTTTTTATTATATTAAAGCAAATTTGTCAATCGTAATAGAATAACAAATCGATTGATTAATTTATTGCATTCTCCTTTTTTCAGTTCGGTGTAGCAGAATGACCAATCGTAATTTAAAATATATCTTGTTTCTGATACAATTACCATTAGATACCTGTTTCTGCGATAGTGTTAAGAATGATCAGTTTCCTATATATATTAAGACATCACAATGATTTTCCAAGAAGTTGATTACTAAACAACCGATCAATATGTAAAAGAGTTGACCTCCAGATCGACGAAACATTACTCGTTCCCTCTAAATGAATTCTAGGAAATATGTATGCATTCAACATATACATTCTGCATAGATATAAACGCCACCATTAAAAATACCGCCCTTCGGAACACCCGAAATCATCGTGGTTACACGTGAATCAAATTCTGTGGCGCTATATTTCGCGCATTTAAAGATTTTCAAATTGGTGTACAAGATTGGTAATTCCAGAATCTGATTAAAAACTGTATATATTACATTCCCAATGACGTGGATTGAGAATACCTTTTTCTTTATTTATCAAACACATCATCATTTAAAGCGTTGCATCCTAGATATTCACACTCACACGTGTACAAGATGTTTATTTTTAGATCTTGAGAATAGTAATTCACACAAAAACTCAATGATTTTGTCAAACATTAGTGGCGACGCAGATTTCATAAACAAATAATAAATAAACAATAAGCATGAAAAGGAAATAATACAAACGAAAAAACTGGTATTTCAATTTGAACTCGTGAGTTAACTAAATTTTTTTGATCCTAAAATCATGTTCAATTTT